GAGTCACCACTGACTTGCCACCTGCGAGAATATCTGTCACTGTTACCTTTCCTTATGTTCCTTAGCAGCTGCTAAGCTCCCACCTTATTAATGGCAACACTTTTGAGTGTTCAAGAGAGAATGGGATTTACGTTTTGGATGCCTCTAAGTGACTATAGCACATTCATTTGGAATTGCATATTAGAACATTCTTCCTGTTTATCAGGAAAATAAGCCAAGGGATTGAAACTTGATGTCTATCTGTAGTTTGCCAAATATAATTTTGCTTGGGATTTATTACATTATTTTTCTCCATTGGTTATGAACTGTAGGCATCTCATGGACATGTATTTCACGCTGAAAAGGTAGTTAGCTGCTGGGTGGTAAAGTCGAGACCAGTATATTGGAAGAAAAGAGACACTCCATCTAATAATCTTTCATAGTCTTCACATTCATTGAGAAGGTTGATTGATAACCTTTCCTGGACACTCTCCCCCAACCCTGACCCAGGAACTTGCAGAGCACACTGTGCAACAGACGCAATAACCCTTGTCTGCAGACAATATGCACAGCTGGGAAGGATAATTAAATAGACTCTTTTTGAGAGGTCTACAACATTTCAACAGAAGGATCAAGCAATCCTGCTGGCCTCCGACTGAAAACTATTACCAACAGACATACTTTGGACAGATTTCATAATCGCCTTACTTACGTGGCACAAGTGCTTATGCGGAGCTTCTTTGGCTTCCAAAAGGCCACTAAAACTGTCAGATCTAAATAATACTGGAACCGTAAAGTGGGAATTAAAAATTAGAATTCCATTTAATATGTAAAGTTGCCATCAGAAAGGGGGCTTTTGGTTTTCCATATTGATTGGTTACATGGTCAACTGCAGCTCTGAGAACTCATGAGACACCCCCAGATCTCATCCTGTATGATTCTTTTTGAGGTTTATGTAGGTTATTGAGGTTTAAATAAGGTGGCAGGGGGTAGGTTTCCTTATGGGTGGCAATATTACATATAGCAAATGTCATGAGAGAAGATAAAAAGCCTCTCTTTTGAATGTTAACATTTCTGCAAATAAGTTTAATTTACAGTGTAAGTTTACATTACTATTATGAAACTTCACCTAAAAGATTGGGGTGAAATCTAGGAGGGAAGTGCAGAGCTAGGGGAGGGATAGTATTATGTAAATGATGGGTTGATGGGTGCAGCAAACCACCATGGCATGTGTATACCTATGTAACAAACCTGCACATTCTGCACATGTGTCCCAGAACTTAAAGTATAGTTTAAAAAAGGAAAAAAAAAGATTGGGGTGAAATCTTAAAGAATTATGAAATTAAGAAATGAAACCCAGAGGGCTTTCTTTTATAGTACTGCTGACTTAAACCAAAATGGGTTTGGTTTGTCCTATTAGATTGTGGGTATTGAGAAAGGAGCATTTACTGCTGCATAGGACATGTTTTCTCGAGAGCAAGGCAATTTCCTTTTGACCCAGTACATTCCATAGGTAAATCACTGCACACTGTAGAGATACCTGTTCCTTCCCTGCCCTCAACCTTTGGGGTTTTGAAACCAAATCATTGCTTTTTCATCTTTTACTTTTTCTTATGAACAAAGCCACCCACTTTCTCATTTTTCCAGATGCCGAATCCTGCTTTATATGAGTGGAATCCACTCTTTCCAATGGAAAGACACTTGCTCTGAGACAGGCTATTCTGTCATGAGCCTTGCATGGCTCAGTGATGTAATAAAGGTGCAATATATTTAAACTTTACAAAAAGCGAGATTTGAGAGAATCATGCGTCTTGTGCCTACAATGTGTATATGGCCTAGCAGGATTTATAGGTACATGCATGATTAATTTGAACACCGTATAGCAAAATGATCTGTTAGAAAACACATGAGAAGATGTGCAACATTATTAATCATTAAGAAAATGCACAGGGCCGGGCGTGGTGGCTCAAGCCTGTAATCCCAGCACTTTGGGAGGCCGAGGCGGGTGGATCACGAGGTCAAGACATCGAGACCATCCTGGTCAACATGGTGAAACCCCGTCTCTACTAAAAATTACAAAAAATTAGCTGGGCACGGTGGCACATGCCTGTAATCCCAGCTACTCGGGAGGCTGAGGCAGGAGAATTGCCTGAACCCAGGGGGTGGAGGTTGCGATGAGCCGAGATCGTGCCATTGCACTCCAGCCTGGGTAACAAGAGCAAAACTCCGTCTCAAAAAAAAAAAAAAAAAAAAAAAGAAAAGAAAAGAAAATGCACATAAAACCACAGTGCCAGTGTGATACCTCTGCATATCTATTATAATGTATAAATTTTCTTTTTTTCTGAGATGGAGTTTCTCTCTTGCTGCCCAGGCTGAAGTGCAGTGGCATGATCTCAGCTCATCACAACCTCTGCCTCCCAGGTTTAAGCAATTCTCCTGCCTCAGCCTCCCTAGTAGCTGGGATTATAGGCATGCGCCATCAGGCCCAGCCAATTTTTTGTATTTTTAGTAGAGACAATGTTTCTCCATGTTGGTCAGGCTGGTCTTGAACTCCTGACCTCAGGTGATCCATCCACCTCGGTCTCCCAAAGTGCTAGGATTACAGGCATGAGCCACTGTACCTGGGCAAATGTATAAAATTTAAAAGACTGACCATACAAAGCATTGGTGAAGATGTGGACCAACTGGTGCTTTTATGTATTGCTGGTGAGAATGTAAATGGCACAATCACTTTGAAAACAGTTTGACAGTTTCTTAAAAAGTTAAATATACACCTGGCATAATATATCCAAATATCCTACTCTTAGGTATTTAATCAAGAGAAATAAAAGCATATGTCCATACAAAAACTTGTATAAAAATTGCTTGTAGCCCAGGCACGGTGGCTCACGCCTGTAATCCCAGCACTTTGGGAGGCCGAGGCGGGTGGATCACGAGGTCAAGACATCGAGACCATCCTGGTCAACATGGTGAAACCCTGTCTCTACTAAAAATACAAAAAATTAGCTGAGCATGGTGGCACATGCCTGTAATCCCAGCTACTCAGGAGGCTGAGGTGGGAGAATTGCCTGAACCCAGGAGGCGGAGGTTGTGGTGAGCCGAGATGGTGCCATTGCACTCCAGCCTGGGTAACAAGAGCGAAACTCCGTCTCAAAAAAAAAAAAAAAAAAAAAAATTGCTTGTAGCAGCTTTATTTGTAACAGCCAAAAACTAGAAACAATCCAAATGTCCAATGAAAGGATACATTGTATTCATTTATGGGATATATCCATGCAATCGAATACCATTTAGCAATAAAAAGAATCAATTGTTCATACATGCAACCACATGGACAAATCTTCAAATAATTCTGCTGGGTTAAAGAAGTCAGGCAAAAAGGTAAGAGAGTGTTAGGAATGGAATTAGTGTATCAACAGTGGCAATGAAAAGGAGAAAATGATAGTAACCTCAAAGACAGAATTAATGAACTTTGATTATGAAATGATGATAAGAAAGGGAGCGTAGACTCTGAGGTCTGTCTCTAGCTTTGGTTTCCCTATGTGGATCATTATCTATTTGGATGTAACAATTATCTGAAAGATGATACTTAAGCATATATGAAGTGATAACTACCTGTTTATCATGCTGAGTTTTTGTTACCTCCAAGACCTGCAAGAAGAAACATCCTGTAGGCAGACCATTCATACTTGACTGCTAAAGGAAAACAAAATTCCATCTTGTCTTTTCTATCAACACAAATATAGCTAATAGAGTAATAGCTAATAGTGTAATACTTGTGAGAGAAAAAGAAAAGAACAAGCACACACATACACTCAGTGGGATTCCTAGAGCCATTCTCATGGATAAGAGAGAAGGAAGGGTTGAGGGCAAAAAGAGAAAGCAGGGAAATAGACTATGGTGGGATACCTTAGGGCAAAAGAATAGGGAACTGACTTGGAAGGTACAATCTTTATGGATACTTGATTCATTTATTGTCCCTGTCATTCTGGCATATCTTAATGCGTTTGGTGTGTTATTTTTTTAGTCACTTGATCCAAATTCTCAAATTAAGTGGAGCTCAGAAGAGATAGTGTCCACTGTGGTCAAGGCACATGTTTTGGCTTCAAGACAAATCAGCTTTCTAAGCATCTGTCTTCTTGTCTGTACAATGGCCATATCAGTTCCCACCTCTTCAGGTTGTAGCATTCATAAATAATTGTGCACAAGAAATATTAGGATTGCTTCTAACCCATAGTAAGGGCTCAACAAACTCTTCTTCCTTCTTGTCTTCTTCTTCCTTTTCCTTTTGTTCTTCCTTCTTCCTTCATTTTTTCCTTCCTCCTCCTCATTATTATTATTAGGTAACCATAATAATATCAGTTAATGATTGGAAAAAGCTTTAATCTCCTAGTTCACCATTAGAAAACAAGAACATATTTTGATGGTTATTACCCTAAGTAATCATAACGTCACCTTTTTTTTCCATCTGAATCATTCTTCCAAGTGATTTATTTATATATGGTGTTTTATGAGTCTTTCTTGTACATGTTACAGAAAATGAGTGTGACTTAGGGACAAAGCAAAGAAATAGAAATTTAGTGCCTTTCATTCTGCCTGTGCTCCAATTCCTGTTTGGTCTAAGGCAAGTAAATTAGATTTCTTGCACCTTAGCGTCTTCTACTCAAACAGAAATGAGGAGCAGTCACAGAGTGCTATCAGACGTGACTAAGTAGAATGCACACAAGTTTTCACACCGAGTATAACTCTTTATAGAAAGCTAAGTGTGTTGCTCAAGTTGGTACATTTCTGTAGATGTGACACTATGGCACTAAGAAACTTAATGCCACACTGAAATTCATTGAGATAGTTAAATTTAAAAAATAATTAATAATTACTTGACTTTACTAAAAAGTATGTTTGTATTGCATTTACTCCATCTAGTAGACAATAGACCTTGTCATTTCAAATCCCTGTTGCATTAATTTCACAAGTAATGAGTCTTTTTCATTTGAGTCAGCAGGGTTTTTCTTGCTTGTTTTCAGGCTTTGTGGATTTGACCCTCCATGATCAGGTCCACCTTCTAGAATGTGCCTGGCTAGAGATCCTGATGATTGGTCTCGTCTGGCGCTCCATGGAGCACCCAGGGAAACTCCTGTTTGCTCCTAACTTGCTCTTGGACAGGTAAGTGACCTGGCTGCAGCTTAGGAGAAGCATGTTCTTTATGATCATCAGTTCATTCAGAAACGATTTTATTCATCCCTCTGTGAAGCTTCAGAGAACTTTATTAGGTATGTTTACTTGACAAATGGGTGCACTGGGGGTGATGAGGTTAGTCAAATTCACAGAAAGCTAAGGATAACTTTCTGTTAGACATCGCCTCAGAAGAACTCTATTATTTCTGACACGCACGTGAACACACACACACACACACACACACACACACACACAAAGTCATCATGAATGGTAATTTTCTAACTCCATCTTCAACTTGTGTCATATAAAAATAATGTAATCTCTCTTTAATTAAAACTTATTTTTGCTTCTTGTACATTCAAACCACAATAACATGTTCATTTTCTTCTCCAATTTCCCATCAGCAAAATGAAGAAATTTGACCAGAGAGTTCTGAAGGTCACTTCCAAGTGGACAAATTCATTTTAGTTTTCAAACATGTTACCTTCTTTAACATACCGTTCTGGGGTTGCCTCAGAATGTGGGTCCAATTTTTTTTCAATCATTGCTTAAAGCAATAGAATTTACATATTACTCAATGGCAGCTCCCACTGATAGAGTCTCCACCCTGCACCAGCTGCTATGTTAAACGCTTTACATACATTGTCTCATTTAATCATCACCAGACTCCTAGGAGACAGGAATTTCATCATCCATGTTTTACGAGAAAGAAAAATAAATCAAAAATAAATCGCAGAGACATCCTGCTACTTGCAAAAAGCAGAAAACTCGCTAATGGTGGAACCGGAGTTCAAATTCAAGATCTTTCTGGCTCTGGTATGCTCTGTACCTCCTGTCCTGGGCACATGATCTTCCCACTCTTTCATGTTCGGTGATGCCTCCTTTGGTTTGCTGCCACAGCATTCTGTTTTCCAGGTAAATCTTGTCTTTGTGGGCTACCTAACATTTTGGACAAGAAAAGAATCATTTTGTTGTTTCTTGCAATCCTATTTTTGCCTCTGTGCCCAGCAGTCTAAGGCTGCCAGGCGGCCCACCGTGCATCTCTGCATGATCCTTTACTTCAGAGCATTTCACTAATCTTTCTACACCTGCCAAGTGCCTGGAGCAGAGTTGCAGCAAAATTTATTTAACTACCAGAGAATTGTTCAAGGTGTTCGTTATTGTTTTGTCATTTTGTGTTAACACAGCTTTTGAAAAACGGTGATATGGTTCAAGAAGCAGATTTTGCTGTCTGTAGAATGTATTTTGATATCACAGTTTCACAAAATTATCAGGAATGGCCACTAGTCTTACTCCTTAGAACTGTACTCACAATGTATCCTGTCAGCCTTCTAGAGGATGCCTTTACTCTGTTCTTTCCTTTACATTCCTTGTTTTCCTTGCCATTTTTTCCTATCTTATCTTCTCTTTTCCTTTGCTTTCCTCTTTTCTTCTTTCTCCTGTCCTCTTTTTTTTTTTGTCTTATAGCAGTGTGGTTTTGTAACCAAGTTATATCAAGTTTGCAGATGAAAATGTTAGACTGCAAGTAATATTTCCCTGCCTACTGCCTGGAATGTATCTACCATGTTTAGGTTTTTGGGCATTTATAACTCATTTGCTCCTTGATTTCCATCCTCATCTGTATCTATCTTCTTTTTATAAAAATTTAATTCAGTTTTTAAAAGATTGACACAGTTGTGCAGATGCATGGGATACATAGTGATATTTCAATACATATAATGTGTGGTGTACACACGTGCTTGAGAACAGTCATCAAATAATTGCATTTTGAATATGTAAAGATTTTTGACATTACTGTACCCAACAAACTCATATTGCCAATGAGATGATATGGCCTAGAATTTTGTCAGCTACAGCCTTTTGTTTCTTTTCTGTATACTCCAGTGGTGGCTAATTTTCTTCCCCATCCCTCACAGATGTATGAATGACTAAAATTTCTTAAGCCTATTCATTTCTACTTTCTAAAACTTTAGATTGGAAGTTTTAATTCCTTCTAGACCAGGATTTGTCAATCTCTTTGCTATTGACATTTTGGGTCAGATAATTCTTTCTTGGTTGAGGGGTGATATGATTCTTTCTTGGTTGAGGGGTGATATGATGCAAATCTCAAATTGTAGCTCCCATCATTCCCAGGTGTCATCAGAGGGACCCAGTGGGAGATAATTGAATCACAAGGGCAGGCCTTTCCCTTGCTGTTCTTATGATAGTGAATGTCTTATGAGATCTGATAGTTTTATAAAAGGGAGTTTCCCTGCACATGCTCTCTCTCTTGCCTGTTGCCATGTAAGATGTGACTTCGCTCCTTCTTCCACCATGATTGTGAGGCCTCTCCAGCCATGTGAATTGTGAGTCCATTAAACCTTTTTCTTTATGAATTACCCAGTTTTGCATATGTCTTTATTAGCAACTTGAGAACAGACTAATACAAGGGGTTGACATGTGCATTTTGGGATGTTTAGCAGCATCCCTGGACTCTACCAGCTAGATGCCAGCAGCAACCTCCACTTCCTCCAGTTATGATAACCAGCAATGCCCCCAGACATTTCTAAGTATCTTCTGTTGTGTCAGGAGGCAGGGGAGGCAAAATTGTCCCTGGTTGAGAAACATCACTCTATGCTTTTCCATCTCAGTGTTCTATAAGCTCCTCAGACACACCATGCTTTAAACTGAACACCTTATCTTCCTCAACAAATCTGTTCCTTTTCTTTTACTTTCTGTCTTGGTGACATCAACATTCACCTAGACACTAAAGCCAGAAGTTTACATTACCCATGGATTATACCCTCTCCCTCGCCAAATTGTCTAGTTAACTATCAAGTCATCTATGAACTGCTTTGAATTCAGACCTCTCCTCTATCCCCATTCTTCTGCATGGCACAGGTCCTGGTTGTCTCTGCCCCAGATTCCTTGCTTCTGCACCACTGACTCACTTTCTTGGTCCTGCCCCTCTTTCTTTCAGTCCATTTCCCGTAGCACTGCTGGAGATAACTTTCTAAGCACAGGTGTGATCATGAACCTTTCAGTAGCTCTTTAAATTCTTAACATGGAGAAACCCCATCTCTACTAAAAATCCAAGATTAGCCAGGTGTGATGGCACATGCCTATAATCACAGCTATTTGGGAGGCTGAGGCAGAAGAATTGCTTGAACCTGGGAGGTGGAGGTTGCAGTCAGCCAAGATCATGCCGTTGCACTCCAGATGGGCAACAGGAGCAAAACTCCATCTCAAAAAAAAAAAAAAAAAAAAGAAAGAAAAGAAAAAAGAAAATGCTGTGTAGACTTCTTATCTTGATAATCATGAATTTCTATCACAAGTGTCTCAAACACAAATTTCTGAAGAGTCATAGGTGACCCAGTGAGCTCTTGTCTATGCTAAAAACACCTGGTGGCTGAATTCAGAACTTTACACATTCAAATTTCTTTTCCATTGCTTCTGAGAGACCCTCCACCATTAGGGTTCCTTATCAGAAGCATATCCACCTGTAAGGCTCATTTCATGTGCCCTCTTTTTATAAAACCTTCCTTCAAACTTTCTTCTCTTCAGCCTTTATGTGTACATATATATATATATATGGCTTTTCTTTCCACTTCTTTTGTAAGTTCCTGTTGTGGTTGGTTTGCTCTTCTTTTTATTATTCTCATTCTGCCATTTTAGTTATAATTGGACGTCTTCTCTTCCCTACTAGCTCAGAAACTTCTTGTGGTCAGGAACCAGATCTTGTTCATCTTGTATGATCTCCAGTTTATGAAGTCTTCCGTGATACCCAACAAATGTTTGTTAATTGCACTGGCCAAGGTCACCCAAGTGGCTTGTGGATAAATCAGGAGAAGAATCTACATCTTCTGGTAGTCATGGCAGCTGTTACTCTCGTCCAGCTCACTTCCTGTGCATTACTACTCATCAATTCCTGGCTTATTCCTTTAAAAACTTTGAAAAAATTAATATCTATGTGTTTTGGAAAGATTTTCTTAATTTATAAGTGCATTTGGTGTGTGCTTATACATTTGCTTATATGCCACCAACCTGTTAGGTGACTTTGAAATTCCAAATGGGGAAAAGTAAAAGTCCTTATCTTTCCTATAATAAAACTCCTTATGAAGTAAAATTCTTAAGGTCTCACTACATGTAAGAATATTAGATGGTATGATTTGGTTGTGTTCCCACCCAAATCTCACCTTAAATTGTAATAATCCCTAGGTGTCAAGGGTGAGGCCAGATAATTGAATCACATGGGTTGTTTTCCTCATACTGTTCATGTGGTAGTGAATAAGTTTCATGAGATCTGATGGTTTTATAAATGGGAGTTCCCCTGCACAAGTTCTCTTGCCTGCCACAATGTAAGATGTGACTTTGCTCCTCCTTGCCTTCCACCATGATTCTGAGGCCTCCCCAGCCATGTGGAACTGTGAGTCAATTAAACCTCTTTCTTTTATAAATTACCCAGTCTTAAGTATGTCTTTATTAGCAGCACAAGAACAAACTAATACATTAGATATATGTTAATGATGAGGAATGTGTAAAAATACATATACATTTATATTTAAATATAATAAATATTTACAAATAACATTAAAATATAATCTATAATTTTTAAAATTACCTACTTTTCTAATCATTATTAAATATTGCACTAAAGATTATTAAATTTTAATATTATTTAATTACTGTCTTGGTGTTTGAGCATAACTGCTTTTACATTGTGACCAACAGCCCATCTGAGATTTTACACATGTGGAAGATGGCTTTTGAGTGACAGCTGAAAACACTGTTTATGTCTTTTCCCTACAGGTTCCCAATACCTTTAATAAAATAGAACTCTCTGATGCACATGTCACCTGGATCTCCCTTTTGCTCTTGTCCCATCACATTGTATATAGTAAACATTTTTGGTAAGAAATGGTAGATATTTATAACTTCCAAAGCTAAGTGGTTGACAGCTAAGAGGCAGATGATGGTAGGTTCATCATTCTTCTGACATCTCAGGCATT